TTTGTTATTTGTCTAATGAATGTGATTGTGCAGACATCAAAATGTCACTCTCAATAATTCTACTAGTTATTTTGTAAGAATTTTTTATCCTTCCGTTAAGATCTCTCTTTGGCTCTTCCGAAATCACAAAGATATGTAAAGCCTAGGATTAAAGAGGAATTAGGATTTAGGAAGAAGAGGAAAGAGGAAAGAGGACTTTACAAGGAAGGGGAAAGTCTATCAGTGACTTTGTACCACATCTTCAACTCATTGTTGACTGAAAGTAATTCTGTATAAACCACTCAATGTTTCCATTGTATAAATTTCCTCAATCTGAGACCCATTTAATATGAATTAATAGAATCTACACCTTGTCAGGAGAAAATACACCGATATACCACACATACATGTGTTAAGATTATAACTATCAAGATATACACTGAAACATATGTCTTTAAACCTTTGATGTGTAAAGTGTTGCTTCTTCTATCAAATATACGCCAATGGCATTCAGAGGTACATAATTTCCATGGTGAGATGAAGGAAACAATGTACTACCATCCACCCATCAGCTGTATGAAGGAATATTATAAATCTACAGGGTCTCTACAATGATAAAATGTAGCCTGGTCTAGACACCCAGACATACATTCAGAATTGTCAAACCAGTCCAACAGCACCATAGGTCTGATCTCATTATAGATTTCCCATGTCCAGTGTCTGACCACTGGTCATCCTCCTGAACGAACTGGATATGTCAGCAATATACTAAAGGCTGTTGATAATAGCTCAGGGTCAGGCTATAGGTGTGCATCAATACACATGTAAACAGGCATATGTTGTTGAAGCATGGGCCAACATCAGCTTGAGCATGTGTTTCCTTACATAATCAACACTTACACAATGATCCCTGTAGATAATATGGCTATAGTACATACTGGCTATACCTGTATGTGGCTAATCTGACTTGATCTTGACTGCAGGTGCAAAAAGGGTGAAACATGAATAGCTAGTGCCCATGTTTTATTTACATTATGTTAGTCAGTAATGAGTATTACGCTGTATATGTGTGATTTGAGTCCCTGGACTCTAACATTCATGAAATTATATTGCTCCAGGGAAAACCCTGACAAGATACATGTATTTGTAATGTATAGTGCTCTGAATTATGTTTTTTAATTCATTATGTACTTTTTTTTCAATTTAGACAAGAGTATTGACATCATCATGTATAGATTGTGATGATAAAGTAAGAGGTGATATCTAATGGCTGGACTATAAGCCCACAGCTAGCTACATATTGTTATTGTGTAGCATGGTACTGTGAAAAATGGGGAGATGAACCAGAGTCAAAATACCATAATGGTGAAATGAATAAAGTGAAGCCCATGGTAAAGTGAAGCCACTTACCATAGGGAGGGGCATTTTTAATGAACCACAGTTCACTTTACCATGGGCTTCACTTTATCATACTACACCGGTATAATCTATAAAATGTTAAAATATATGGTGTTTGTGTGGAGACAAACCTGACAAACAATTACAAGGTATATTTACCAATATTATAAGCAGCTCTTGTCACTAGAAAGCCTGTTTTACAATTACCAGAAGCTTTATTATAGATCTGCAGTATCTGACAAGAGGAATACACATACAACACCAATCTGTCGGCACTGATAAGGAGCATGAAGCAGTAATTTTGTACAAGACTACTGGCCTTGACTTATTAATGTACAGTGTATCTAGTACTAGTTTGGAGTGGGTGAGTCATTAGTTACAGCCCCATCCTCCCACCACACCTAACATACACATGTAAGGTATTAAAAAACTCACCCAGCCTCACCTAGACATGTGAATTACACAAAAAATAAATAAATGTAACATTACTTGAAAAATTTTAAGTAAAGGAAAATACAAAAATCAATCATCCAATAGATATATTTATATGCAGGATCTTCTTCACAAAATACATTTGCCACATGACTTTGTGAATCAGAAGCTTTCACTTTCCCATCCCGATGTTTGTTTTGAGTACAATCAATAACCTAGTACTATGAAACCTATGGTTTCCTCAAAACAACATGTATTATCAAACAATGGGTGCCGACTTTCATCCAAACAAACAGACCATTGTCATCAACACAGAATGTGTCATCAGATTATGGGAGCAGTTTAGTGGCTCCTATCTTAGCCTGTCTGTCATCTCTCAGTCTAGGAATGATTACAGTGTAAGTATGATAGACAGGTGAGAAGGTTCATACTCGGCATGTGGTAGTTTATACATCACTCAGGTGTGTGCACATAAGTTTGTATATATCTCAATCACTAGCACAGGAAAAAATGTTCCCTAGGAACACCAGATGTATGTCTATTAGCATTGACAAGAGGAATCCTGCAGTTACTAGGAACAGGGAACTCTGTTACATAACAAAGGATAAAGATATATAAGGGCAGTAGTAAACATGACTGGCTAACTAAAATTGGAAGCTTATTCAACTTATTCGCTTGCCAAAGCCTAAAAATTTGAAGAATTTTTTCCCATTGTTAATAGCCTTACAAATGAAATTCAAAACAATGTATCATACCTAATGTAAGTTGAAAAATAGCCAAAATTTAATAGAGCGAATATCATTCAGTATTATCTATTCCTTCATTTTGTTTCACCAATAAAGGCATGTCAATTTACTGGCGTGTGAAAATTCTGCCAGCCAGCTTTTTTTTTTTCATTTCTATTGATCATGGTAAAATAGAATGGTATAATGTTCTGCACCTATATGTGTACATGTATCACCACAAGTACTTAGACATCGACCTGACAGGTATATATTGAACCAAACCTACAGGCATAACTAGTCTGGTAATTTATTTTGAATATCAACACTATGGATAATTCCTATTAGTGCAGTGTATATATTCTTTTTGGAACTTAAATGAACCAGATAAGTGGACTCACAAGTTTTCATACATGGATACAAAAGTATGTCTTTATAGATTTTGTAAATACTTACTTTTCGATCATAGAAACATTCCCAGACATACTGGTTTTACCGAGTTATATTACAATAGCCATATAAATGAAAATCTGTTGATTATAAGGAAATTCTAAGCTGTACTTTAATTACCAGGAACTGAGTCAATGAGGATGTCCCTGTCTGACAGAACACTATACCAGCATCTCACTAGATCTATTTCCGTCTATCATATGGTAGATTATATGTGCACTTTTTCGCGATGTGGCCCTTATCAAGTGCCTATCCTTTGATGTGTACATCACAATTACAACCTTTCGTTATCAGTCGTGATCACAGGACACGACGTCATCAATGTCATAATCAAAGTGATTACTTGACAATATGTGATAAAATTGTGTGACATTTGTTTAATTCTGAAGGGGATGGATTAATACATTCTATCTAGAGAGGTAGGTCAACTTTTATATTTGTGATCTATGTCATGACACAAATGCAAACAAATTTCTCTTGACTTGCAGATTTTTTTCAGTGCAAAAACAGCTTTTGATCCCTAAAAAACCTGATTCATGTAGTTTTTGTCATTTCCATATTACAACTGGTATATAAAATGTCATATGAACATTCTTAATGACAATTACTCTTTACTATTTTAATATGTTTATATTTTATCAATGATAATTAAACTGTATAGATAATTTATGCACAATACATATGATATTGTAGTAGATGTAATATTTTGATGATAAACACATTCAAACTATATAGAGTGTCACACATCAGTTTTAAAAAGTTGTCAATACACACTGAATGTTGAGATGTATAACAAACTTAATGCAAACTGTTTAAAACATTCTGAATTTTTTGTTGGTTAAACACAATTCTTTTTAAAGTATGAATGCATTGCTAATTAAGTAGTGAAACGATTTGAGATAATATTGTATTATTTCTTATGAATTTACAAATGAAAGTGTCTCATTACAGTGTGTTCCTACCACTCATAGTCTTGATACTGATAACCTGACTATACAGTTTACTTGTGATCTTAATTTCCTGTTTACTTTCAACTTTACTGTTATCAGTATATACCACAAATTTAGATGAACTGTTAAATCTTAATTTGTTGGATGGGTTAGTTTAAATGATTACTCTGTCATTTAAATGTGAAAGTACAACATGATGATATGTGCTCTGGATATTTCATTCATTTGAACATGTTGTAATTTTGTATCCACTCGAGATCTGACCTCAAATCCTGTCTGCCTATACAAGGATTGAGGAAACAGGAACTGATTTTATTCAAACAAAAGTGTGCACTGATTTTATTCCATGCTATATATAGAAGTATCATATTTATACACTTATTTGTTTATAAACTTTATGATTTCAGCTGTCAATATATTTACAATTGCCTATATATGAAAGAAAATAATATCAATCGCTAAATACATATAATGCAGTAAAAATCCTCCATTTGAATTAAATCTTTTTTTAGCAGAGACCTAATAAAAGGAGAATTTTTTTAATTCTCTGCTGAGAAGGTTACCTTGACCTACTTACGCAGACAGCCAATCAACAAACTTTCCCAGTATACAAGGTCATTCTGACTTCCTTCAAAGACTATCTATCCAACTTCACTTGTCAACAAGTCTTCTTTTACTTAGTTTCACAGGCACATGTTTTCTCCATGACAGGGTATCCCTGATCTAGTTATATTGATAAATTAAGTTATCTCCCCTGACATGGTTTCTATGACCTACTTAAGCAAATTCCTCTCCAATGCTCGCCTCTAACAAGGATAACCAATTATGCAGATAAAAAATGTTTAAAAAAATGTTACTCAATCCTCAACCTTTAGAAGGTCACTATGTCCTAGTTACATAGATTCAATATATATACCCAATTCTCATTGCTGCAGTAAGGGTTTTGTGACCTAATTGCATAGACACTTACCTAATTTCCTTACAAAGATAGCATGATCTACTTACATAGATAGCTACCCAGGTTTCTTCCCTGACAAGGTTACTGTGACCTAGTTGCTCAGACACCTACCTAATTCTCCTTGCTGGACGTCAAATCTGCTAGCACCTTCTTGGTCAATGAATTGGGGGTTGTCACAAATCTCCTGCAATAACAAGTAATACATGTCAAAACAAGGAATTTCTATGTAAGGCACATTACAGATAAACTTATCTACATGGCTTAATGATATGTTGTAGTCTGTTACCCGCTGTTTGGGATACAATGTCAATATTTTTATATCAATTAACTGGATTTCTTAACTGCAAATCTGAAGTTATATAAATGTCCAATGTACCTGGAACTAGCTACAAAATGTTTATAAAAGACAGACGATGTTGATCAGCTAGGAGGACCTATGTCAGATTAATCATTATCATTCCCTTCAAATCTTTGGGCCAAGTCATCTGATAATGAATGGTAAAATGATGAACAAGCAGGTGGACATGATTTCCAAAGGAAAAACCCAGTAAATTTTATATATCATTTAAACTCTCAACAAAATTATTGTTATTTTAAATATTTGAAACATGAAATATTTGACAGGAATCAGAGCGACTGCTGAGTTAATTATATGCATTGATAACACTCAACAGATAAAAACATAGCATACAAGAGTTATCCACATTTCTGGAGGCAAATTGTAAAGAGCATATCTTAACTGCTATGATTTAATAACTCAATACCCTGGGAATCAAGTGATATCTATGTGTGACAGGGACCCTGTGATCTAACATATATAATGGGACAAGTCTATCCTCATTCATCCTGATAATGGTAAGTGACAGCCAGTGTATATACAGCAGGGTCTATCCTCAGCACCCTGGGATGGTGTGTATGCAGCAGGGTCTATCCTCAATACCCTGTGATGGTGTGTATGCAGCAGGGTCTATCCTCAGTACCCTGTGATGGTGTGTATATACAGCAGGGTCTATCCTCAGTTCCCTGGGATGGTGTGTTATACAGCAGGGTCTATCCTCAGCATCTTGGGATGGTGTGTGTGCAATACCCTGTGAACAGCAGTCCATCCTCAGTACTGTGATGGTGTGTATATATCCTCAGAACCCTATGATGGTGTGTATATACAGCAGGGTCTATCCTCAGTTCCCTGGGATGGTGTGTGTGCAACAGAGTCCATCCTCAGAACCCTGTGATGGTGTGTATATACAGCAGGGTCTATCCTCAGTTCCCTGGGATGGTGTGTGTGCAACAGAGTCCATCCTCAGAACCCTGTGATGGTGTGTATATACAGCAGGGTCTATCCTCAGCATCTTGGGATGGTGTGTATGGGATGGTGTGTGTGCAACTGTGATAGTGTGTATGCAGAAGGGTCTATCCTCAGTACCCTGGGATGGTGTGTGTCCATCCTCAGAACCCTGTGATGGTGTGATGGTGTGTATATACAGTACCCTGTGAGTGTAGTACCCTGTGATGGTGTGTATATACAGTAGGGTCCATCCACAGAACCCTGTGATGGTGTGTATATACAGCAGGGTCTATCCTCAGTTCCCTGGGATGGTGTGTATGCAGCAGGGTCTATCCTCAGTACCCTGTGATGGTGTGTATATACAGTAGGGTCTATCCTCAGTACTCTGTGATGGTGTGTATATACAGTAGGGTCTATCCCCAGTACCCTGTGATGGTGTGTATACAGCAGGGACTATCCCCAGTACCCTGTGATGGTGTGTGTATGAGGCAGTGGGTCTATCCTCAGTACCCTGTGATGGTGTGTGTATGAGACAGTGGGTCTATCCTCAGTACCCTGTGATAGTGTGTGTATGAGACAGTGGGTCTATCCTCAGTACCCTGTGATAGTGTGTGTATGAGACAGTGGGTCTATCCTCAGTACCCTGTGATAGTGTGTGTATGAGACAGTGGGTCTATCCTCAGTACCCTGTAATGGTGTGTATGAGACAGTGGGTCTATCCTCAGTACCCTTTGATGGTGTGTGTATACAGCAGGGTCTATCCTCAGTACCCTGTGATGGTGTGTAGGAGACAGTGGGTCTATCCTTGCAGTAGTACCCTGTGATCCCTAACTGTTATGTATATAGTGATGGTATGTGTGTATTCAGGGCTATCCAATGGTATCTTGGGTTCAAGTGTCTGGGTCTCACTGACTATACAGATATATAATGCTATCTGTACTGTTCTTATCTTCCTTTTTCATATGTTGTAAAAAAACAGCTGAGAGCTTGGAGATGAAAGGCTGACGGTTATCAGAACCATCTGGCTGAAGGAACTATTCTTTTCTTACTCAGGCACCATGACAAATGTTCCCACTAATTGGTGTGTTCTATATGCACATAGCTTTCATTAGTACACTGAAATTGGTTTGTATGCATTACACATACAAGCCATTTCGTATTAATATCATTATCTAACACAATAATGTCTGTGGGAGTACATCATTAAAATAATTTAAGAAATGAATTAAATAATGTGTGACATTTACTTCAAAGGGCTTTCAAAAAAACTTGCAATCTATTAATTTATGCCTGTCTCCTCGGGAGAGTGATATATTATCTTTGTTTTGTTTACATGTGGTAGTTCTAGAACAAGACTTTAATCCTAGATATAACATAACATAAATACCCTGAATAAACAAAATTGAAGTTGGACGAAAGCCAACAACACTTTCCTAATGTTTAATACATGTATATTGTGTGCCCCAAACCAGTGCCTCTGATTGGTGAAACAGATCATATTGACATTAGGCATTGATGTTCAAGCAATAACATTCACCAGAGAGGCTCCTCAGGGGAAACCCAAGGATGAGTGCCAACCAAACAAGGAAAAACTTAGCTGTCAGATCTTGTTACACTTCCACTCCAGTGATGACTGAGCTGTGTGAGGGAATCACTGTTTAGACCCTCCTACTGAAGAAACTCCTTTCTTGCTATAGTATATATTGTACTGCTATCTACTGACCCCTACACTAGTCATACAGGCCACGGCATCTACTGGCCCCTACAATAGTCATACAGGCCACAGCATATAATGACCCCTACACTAGTCATACAGGCCACAGCATCTACTGACCCCTACACTAGTCATACAGGCCACAGCATCTACTGACCCCCACAATAGTCATACAGGCCATAGCATCTACTGACCCCTACACTAGTCATACAGGCCACAGCATCTACTGGCCCCCACAATAGTCATACAGGCCACAGCATCTACTGACCCCTACAATAGTCACACAGGCCACAGCATCTACTGACCCCCATAATAGTCATACAGGCCACACCATCTACTGGCCCCTACAATAGTCATACAGGCCTCAGAATCTTCTGGACCCTACAATAGTCATACAGGCCACAGCATCAACTGACCCCTACAATAGTCATACAGGCCACAGCATCTACTGACCCCTACACTAGTCATACAGGCCACAGCATCTACTGACCCCTACAATAGTCATACAGGCCACAGCATCTACTGACCCCTACACTAGTCATACAGGCCACAGCATCTACTGACCCCTACAATAGTCATACCAGCCATAGCATCTACTGACCCCTACACTAGTCAAACTTAGGCATAGTGTCTACTGTCCCCTATCAGTCACACTGATTTATAAAACTGTAATAACACATCTTTCGTCCCTATAAGCCACACAGCGTGTAGATCTACACAAGGAGTTTATAATTGGATCGAGATATCATCCAAGAGGACACAGATTGAATCATTGCCAAGCAATCAAGAAGAAATAAGTACAATACTGTTGGTTAACATGCTTATTATTCATTATCAAATCATTGTACAATAACAAAATGTACTTGCATTGAATGAGCTATGTTTTTGCCATTAATTGACAACAAATTCTATGCTTTGTTGACAATAGCACCATGTAACTTTGTTACAAAGAATGAAATAATAACATAGATCATTTATTGACCATGACCTTGAAAGTGGTAGGTTTTTTTTTCTTTGCTTTTGAAGTACTCATTTTTTTCCCATATTTTGACCTTGATAGTAGTGCACGTTTTTATTCTGTCCTTAATATCTTATTTTTCCACTTGAAGGTGATACGTTTCTCTGATTCTGACCTTGAAGAAGTAGATTTTTCCTATTTTGACCATGAAGGTATTACATTTTTCTGATTTTCCACTTGAAGGTGGTTTATATCTATGTCTATTATTTAAAATTATCAGCTTAAGATCTACATGTAGCTGACATTATCTGAATTCCTTAAACAAATCCATTTTATCTTCAATGCTAGTGCCACAATTTTCTGTATTATGACCTTTCCAATATGTTGGAATACCACATTGGTTCATTTAACAATGGTAAAGTTGGATGGGAGTGACCCAAAGAAAACAGGCAACGAGAACTATTGATAAAGTCAATGAGTTATCTCCCTTGATTCCAAGCAATCTATTAGTAAGATGTACTGTAAGTATTTCTTAACAAAATATCGTGTGGGAGGATGAACCTATTGTACAAAACATTGTGTGGAAGGACGGACCTATTGAACAAAATATTGTGTGGAAGGACCGACCTATTGAACAAAACATTGTGTGGAAGGACGGACCTATTGAACAAAACATTGTGTGGAAGGACGGACCTATTGAACAAAACATTGTGTGGAAGGACGCACCTATTGAACAAAACATTGTGTGGAAGGACGCACCTATTGAACAAAACATTGTGCGGAAGGACGCACCTATTGAACAAAATATTGTGTGGGAGGATGGACCTAAATATTGTTAATACATAATATTCTGAACAATTATTGAGTGGACAGACATACAAGATTAAGGAAGGCAAAAACTTGTAGCTCACAATACATTGTATGAGTGTTTTTATTCAGGATTACATGTCAAGATTTTGAATTACCTCTGATATTCAAATGTAGCAAAAGATTGCAAAAAATACAAAACAGCTGTATGCATTCCATACTGCTGTGGTATATTTTACAAACATCACAAGAAAAAGAGGTGTGTGTTAGCCCTAGAAGTGTCTTCCTCCTCCACACTACAACCTCAAGGTCAGTGATAACCCTGGATACACTGATAAACCTGGGAGAATCTTCAGATAAAAATATAACCTTCAGATCTACAGCCTTCAATATGTTTGTTATTAACCTGCCATATATAAG